TCTCTCCCTATCTGTCTCTCTCTCCCTTTTCTCTCTCCCTTTTTTCTCTCTCTCTCTCTTTCTCTTTCTCTCTCTCTTTCTCTCTCTCTCCTCTCCTCTCCTCTCCTCTCTCTCTCTCTGCCTGACCCCCTCCCCCCTCACATACACCCACATACACACACACACATACACCCACACATTCACACCCTTCCCTTTGAGGTTTGGGAAACTGTCACGATGAAAATAGCGTCCCTGACGTAAGAACGAACAGGATGGAGACGGCAATGTTTGAACATGCTATATCCGTTGTTTGCAGTATTCAGTCAAGTCGGTTTAAACTGGTGAGCGATATGAACTTCCAGAAACAATAGAACGTGTTCGAGATACCTCTCTGATACATGAATACTTCTTCTAGAAAGATGAAACACCATTTTGTGTCGAATGCGATGCTGACCATTCGATCAGGCACCTCCTAATAGAATGTCCATTCAGACTTTGGAGAGTAAACCGTAAGAAAATAATAATAACCCCTGATTTTGTGTTCTTCAATTTGAGCAACAACTTCTCTAAATCGAAAACCGGGCTAAATGGAAGAAAATCCGGCGGTCCCGTTGATTTCAGTTTAAGCAAACTCCTCTGTCCTACTCTTTGTGGGAAGTCCAAGTCTGGTCGTTCATCAATTACCAATTAATAGAGGCAAGATGACACCCTTTCTTTTGAGTTTACCGTCCTTATCTTTTAGTATACGGAATGATATTCCTACTTTGTACGCAACCAATTTTGTCATTCGAGTTTTGAGCATCACAAGCATCCATGTAACTCTGTCTCTATTCAACCTATTCTCATAAAATAAACATCACACTGAGTAGAAACGAATGATCCAAGACCTAAACCTGCACTTTAATAATAGATAGAAATGACTTTGCTGGGGCTTGGTAGATGTTTGCTTTGACTGTAAACAACTGAGTGAGGCCGTGGGCCAGTTGAGCTAGCCTAGTGTGCTATTTATTAAGGGGGAAAATAAAGGATTTTATGAAGTCGACAGTACAAAAGGGGAAGTGGGGACACTAACACAAAGGAACATCTATGAAAAGAATAACTAGCTGAACTTGGTACCATCTATTATAGTCTTACATCACTAAAACTGTACGTCGCGAAATGGCGAATATACAGACAGGGCTAACAGGCTGTAAGCTTGGACAATACGCTTGAACATCAAAACTACTTCAGGATAGATAGATAGATAGATAGATAGATAGATAGATAGATAGATAGATAGATAGATAGATAGATAGACACTCGATCAGACAGACCAACTGATTGACATACTGACCGACCAACCGACAGACAGACAGACAGACAGACAGACAGACAGACAGACAGACA